TGGAACAAAAATTATGGCCCATGGCTGCAACTAGTCCCTCCTCCTGCCTACTGAAGCTTGCTGCAGAGGCTGGAGGGTGCTCAGGCAGGGTGACTGCTCCCCCCACCAACGTACGTCGCGAGGCAAGGAGCAGACAAAGGCCATGAGGAGGGCAACTAGGCGTCTCTGTGCCTCCAAGCACTCCCCATCCTGCAAAGGAAGAACAGTGCCCATGTCACCACAGTTCTTGCCACCAGGCTATGCCAACATCCTCATTCCCAGCCGTTTTGGTGCTCCAGTCCCAACCACCAAACACACCCTGAAAGGCTGGAAGGAACAAGGAAAACTGTTCTGGGGTAGGAAGGAGACATCTCCGTCCAGAAACAGGGGCACCATGTGAGACACGCTCTGGGCAGCCAGCCTAGGAGAAAAGAGACATTGCAATGTGCTGCTCTGAAAGGGTCAGACAGCTCCTGGGTACCTCCCAGGAGGCACAGGGTCACCCTGTACAGAAGGCAGCAGGGGGCATGCAGTCTGTCCCCTCTCCACGATGGAGCACCCAACTTCCGCCCCAGCATCACTCACTCAGGGCTCAGGTGAGTGGTGGCAGCACTGATGACTGGAACCATGGCAGCCAGCACCTCTTCCTCCAGCAGTGTCTTGCCCAGCAGCGGGTGGGTGCTCTCTGCAAGTAGCAGGAGGAAAGGAACTTGCTGGAGCCTGCTGTCCAGAGGGAGGAGGCAGGCACAAGCTCCTGAACCCACACAAGCACTGGGACAGGGCTCTGGGGTAGGAAACAGTGGGGCCCACAGTGCCCGTGGTTGCTGGAGGGCAGCAGCAGCTGTGCTGGCTGCAGGGTCAGGGACCCCAGAGAGCCAAGGAGGTGCCAGCTCTCCCTCTCTCCCACTCCTGCCCCACACTTGCCTTGCATGGCTGCCTGCACAGCCATGGCCAGCAGGCACGGCACCACCATCTGGTGAAAGTACCAGCAGCTCTCCACATCCTGCTGGCACTGCAGGGCCACACGGTGCAGGCTCCGGCACACAGAGACCATGTCCTCGGTGTTCTCGGCCTTACTCCCTGCAAGGCACAGTCACCATCACATCAAACAGCTGCAGCACCCGTTCCCTTGCTCTGCACCGCGACAATGAAGCCCTTCTGACTCCCCTCCACCAGTAGGGTTCACAGCCTGGGCTCCTCACACCACTGCCATTCCCATCCCAAGTACAAGAGGCAGCTCCTGCCCAGATGTGCTCTGTGGAGCTGCCTGCTGTGCCTCCAATACCTTTCTGCACCTTCTGGAGATGCTGCAGCAGGACAGGGACAGTCTCCCTCACAATGCTGGTGTGGGTGGACACGGCTGCCAGGGCCTGCAAGCAGCGCTGCTGCAGCGAGTGGTGGTCGTGGGAGCTCTCTTCCTCACGCTCTGAAGAGGAAACACACCTCAGAGGGCTGCTGAGCTGACACCAGGCCCCCTTGCCCAGTGGCAGTCACGGCCCAGAGCCTGCCAGGATGGATGGGGTGAAGAGGCACAGCAGAACCAGCCTGTGCCACACCCAAAGCCCTCTGCCTGCACTACAGCTGGGCAGCTCCTCCCCACAAGGTTGATCCTGGCTGCACACGCTGCTGCCTGCCGGCCAACCCCGCCACGGCCTTCCCTGTGCCAGCACACAGTGCCTGCACTGGGAATCCCCCAAGAAGAGCACTGACCTACACCACATGGCACAGCCTCACTGCCTGGCAGGAACTCAGTGGGGATGGGACAGAATTCACCCCAAAACCAGGTACCACTCCCTTCACAGACCTACCTGACTGCAGCTTCTCTTCAAGCCTGGGTACCATGTGTCCAGAGAAAACCTCTGGGTAGATAGGGGACAGAGACCCAGCTGCCTCCATTGCTGCTTCGCTGCCAGGGGGTAAAAAAAGAGTGGGAAAAGTGATGCAAGGACTGCAAACCCAGGGCTGCTAGTACATCAGCTACACAGACCTGTCCTCCAGAAACACTTTCTCAGCAATCTGCCTTTTTCACCCTTGTGGCAGGTAGAGCAGAGCCCCCTGCTTTGACAGGCCCAGGCTTTCTAATTTCCAGCCCATGAATCATCTGGTTTATCCCATAGAGTCTTTAGTTCAGACAGTTCCTGGGCCTTCCCCAACACTACAGCCCCTCACTGCAGCAAAGCCAGGCTTTGTTCCTCTACCCAGAATCTGGGTGACTGCAGTGGTGCTAGAACACCCCTTACCTGCTCTGGGAATCCTCCTCATGCAGAGCAAGACGGATGAGGTGATCTACAACCAGCTTCAGGTCAGAGGAAGACAGGAAGCCTGGAACAAGAGCCGTAGAGGAATCCTGTCCTCGGCCAAAGGCCAGTGTTTTGGCCAGCACCCTTCCCGCTCATCCAGGCTAGCACCAATGTAGCAGCATACCAAACACCAGAGACACAATGTGCCCAGCACAGACAGGCAAGAGAG